ATTGACAGGGTGCTGTGAGGTGTGTTGTGTGACAGGAGTGTGTTATACTGTCAGTGACTCCAGCTCTGTTATTGACAGGGTGCTGTGCCCAGAGTATATTCCCTCCAGGCCCTGTGGTTGGAGTTGTGGGAGGCAGTGTCTGGTTCCACACAACCATCAATCCTTCTACAACAGAGATAGTGACAATAATCTGGAGGTTTGGCACCAGTTCTACATCCCCCCTTGTGGTCTCCTGGAACTCCAAGACTGAAAATCCAGGCCCAGGGTACACAGGCAGAGTCAGTGTGAACGTGTCCACTGGAGCTCTGGAGCTCAGAGGACTGACAGCTGCAGACAACGGGACCTATTCTGTCACCATTGTCACAGCTGCACCTGACCCACTGACTGGACTGGTGACGCTGAACGTGTTCGGTGAGTAACTGGGACCTCACAGCCTGGAGTCTTACAGGTGTTTGCTGGTTTTTGACAGGCATTAGATCACCATATGTAACTATTGTGTAGCAGAAGATTATAGATATTTTATATACAGAATATGTGAGTATAAAAATATATAAATATCCTCAATGAGCTCCTGAATATGAAACAATAATTATTACCTTATTGCCTGATTTCACAGAAGTTTTGTTTTAAATCCAAGCAGCTATGTTTAACACCCAGAAAAACTTACAAAAACATACAAATAGTACATATAAACATTATATAAAAAATAAATATCACATCACATCAAAGACATCAACCCAAACATACAGTAGGCATTACACACCAGTCCTTACAGGATATATACTGTATATCCATCCAGCTTATAGAGTATGTTTCCTCCCCCCACAGTCACTCTGAGCCCCTATAGTGGCACAGTGTCCCTCCAGTGTTGCACTAAACCATTAATCGCTCTTGTGCGTAAACCAGTACTCCCTTATTGTGAACACACTGGTTGAGAAGCTGTATTGACTGTGGGATACAGGGCTTCCTCGTTTTGTTACCTCTGTTTTTGCTAAACCTCTGGGCTGTCTGGGAGCAGATTCCATGGAACACAGAAGGAAACTCCATGAGTTTGCCTAAAGGCAGCTTCTGTAAGTTCTGGTTCAGGACAGTGTTCTTGATTCCCATCTCAGTGTCCAGTAGAACACTGGTGCTGATTCTTTTTCTTCATGGGTCAGAGGTCAGGTCCCTTGTGATGAGTTCAAGAGCTGATGGAAAGGCTGCAGGAGGTGATCTCATAGGTGACCAGAGCCAGAGGAGGCGCACAGAGTTATTCACTAGGAGTGCATTCAGAATATGTACATGCAGTGACCTGGACTGTGATCCCTCTCTCCAGGACTGTTGGGGGAAATCTGGTCCCAGCAGTCAGTGGACATTCTGACCTTTCAATTTCGAAAGGGCAAGATTGGGGACATGGGGGGAGATGGGGAAGGAATGTACACCCTGAGGTTTTGGGGGCTTGTACCCCATTGAACTTGGCTCGGTGGTCAGGTCTCAGTGCTCAGTGCCCAGGTCTCAGTGGGCAGTGGGCAGGTCTCGGTGGTCAGGTCTCAGTGCTCAGGTCTCAGTGGGCAGTGGGCAGGTCTCGGTGTTCAGGTCTCAGTGCTCAGTGCCCAGGTCTCAGTGCTCAGTGTTTAGGTCCAGCCAGCTTATAGAGTATGTTTCCTCCCCCCACAGTCACTCTGAGCCCCTATAATTAATAATAATAATTGTTTACACTTATTTAGCGCTTTTCTGGAAACTCCACTTATAGCGCTTTACAGGTCATGGGGATCCCCTCCACCACCACCAGTATGCAGACCCCTGGATGATGCGACGGCAGCCATAGTGCGCCAGTACGCTCCCCACACACCAGTCTCAGTGGGGATGAGAGCAGAGTGATGAAGCCAGTTCAGAGATGGGGATTATTAGGAGGCCATGATGGGTAAGGGCCAATGGGAAATTTGGCCAGGACACCGGGGTAACACCCCTACTCTTTTAGAGAAACGCCCTGGGATTTTTAATGACCACAGAGAGTCAGGACCTCGGTTTTACATCTCATCTGAAGGACGGCACCTGTTTACAGTATAGTGTCCCCGTCACTATACTGGGGCATTAGGACCCACATGGACCGCAGGGTGAGCGCCGCCTACTGGCCCCACTAACACCTCTTCCAGCAGCAACCTTAGTTTTTCCCAGGAGTCTTCCATCCAGGTACTGGCCAGGCTCACACCTGCTGAGCTCCAGTGGGCTGCCAGTTGTGAGTTGCAGGGTGATGTGGCTGCTATAATGGCACAATGTCCCTCCAGTGTTGCACTAAACCATTAATCGCTCTTGTCTGTAAACCAGTACTCCCTTATTGTGAACAATAAAGGTTGAGAAGCTGTATTGACTGTGGGATACAGGGTTTCCTCGTTTTGTTACCTCTGCATGGAAACTGTTGTTTGCTGAACCTCCTGAGTCGGGGTCTGTCTGGGAGCAGATTCTATGGAACACAGAAAGAAACTCCGTGAGTTTGCCTAAAGGCAGCTTCTGTAAGTTCTGGTTCAGGACAGTGTTCTTGATTCTCATCTCAGTGTTCAGCAGAACACTGGTGCTGATTCTTTTTCTTCATGGGTCAGAGGTCAGGTCCCTCGTGATGAGTTCAAGAGCTGATGGAAAGGCTGCAGGAGGTGATCTCAGAGGTGACCAGAGCCAGAGGAGGCTCACAGAGTTATTCACTAGAGTGCATTTAGAATAATCTACATGTACATGCAGTGACCTGGACTGTGATCCCTCTCTCCAGGACTGTTCGGGAAATCTGGTCCCAGCAGTCGGTGGATGGTCTGACCTTTCAGTTTCGAAGGGCGGGGTTGGGGACATGGGGGGAGACGGGGAAGGAATGCACACCCTGAGGTTTTGGGGGCTTGTACCCCTTGAACTCCCATGTCCCATAGTGTTCTTTAGCAACCACGTGGAATGGTGTCTTTGGCCATAGAAACAGCAGCCCACAGGGGTTAGTGGTTAGTACAGTACTGAGTGGTCAGCGCTCCGGTCTCAGTGCTCTGTGGTCAGGCTTGGTGGTCAGGTCTCAGTGCTCAGTGCCCAGGTCTCAGTGCTCAGTGCCCAGGTCTCAGTGCTCAGTGCCCAGGTCTCGGTGGTCAGGTCTCAGTGATCATGAACTACTTGCAGGCAGGTTCCTCTTCAGCAGAGTGGTGACGTGTGAC